TGATGGCCATGTGAATCCTCATGTTCTGTTGTTTGCTGCTTTTTGCGCATGTAAAATTAATCCCCGGGAAACAAATGTTAGTATTTTTAACAGGTCACAGACACTTATCCTTTCTAATTTAATTCAATTCTAATTTAAAATCATCTTGTCGGTTAATGGTTAATAATCGGTTAACGAGCGTCGGTTGTCGGTTAGGAAAAATAACCGAAATAAACATCCCTAGTTTGGATGTGAACGGTCCATTGATGCTCTCTCGGTCCAAACATGTGATGAAGAGCTGGGCTTTGTCTGTCTGCTGATGAGGAGGAGGAGGAGAAAGGTCACATTCTCCACACTCCTCCACAACGATCTCATTGATGCAGCTGCATTCCAGAATTGGTGATCTAATCCAGGGCATCTTCATCATCTTCATCATCACATGAGCCCTGAAGCAGCACACGTCACATCTGGTTGAAAGCGGAAATCTTTCGCACATTTTCCCACACTTCTCCCTTTGACGCGATATAATAAAGCCCGAGGCTGAGAGGGGTTTTTCCCTCCTGCACTGCTTGCGTCTCTTTTGTGCGCTGAAATTCCCGTGTAAAAGCGGATACTCTAGCCGGCCCGTCACAATACCGCAGGACAACATGTGTGGAAACACAATGGTGCACCTGGACCTGCTCCTAGAGGAGCTAGGCTTGAGGCCTGTGTTTTTACTTTCCTTAAATCATTCATATAATAGGATTCTATTAGTTTATTATCCAGTACTGTTGACATGTCATTTTCATATCACATTACCCATGTCTGCCTGACCTTGAGAGGTGTATTACTGTAGCCAGTGTGTTTAATATCTAATGACCCGACATCACCAAAACAACTGCTGCTGTTGTCTGGGACCGTGTAGCCTTGTGGTTCAAGATCTGGGCTTCTGACCAAGAGCTTGCAGGATTACTAGTGTGAACTGATTCTACTGATTAACCACCTTTTATGACAGATATACAGGTTGTTTTTAGATTCTAGATTGTAATCGTTTACTTTCTGCTTTTGATATGAGTACAGGTCCATTAGACTTCAGAAACAGAAACAATAAAATGTATTATGAGTATTGGGTCGCACTTTAGTTTAAGGTCCAATTCTCACTGTTAACTAACTAATAACTATGACTTTTGCCTCAAACTCTTAATTTGCTGCTTATTAATAGTTGGTATTAGTTGTTAAGTTTAGGTATGGGGTAGAGATTACGGGATCTAAAATATGGTCATGAAGAATAAAGCATTAATATGTGCTTTATAAGTACTAATAAACAGTCAGTATGCTAGTAATATGCATGCTAATAAGCAACTAGTTAATAGTGAGAATTATTGCAGTTTCTCCCATTCATAAGTAATAGGAGTGAACCGTCATTGTATATTTATAGGCTTTGATAATGTTAACCAGTAGCCAAAGAGTCTTTCAGGTATTGTTTTAGTGACTTCTATTCAGTCTGTCTTTATATGTAACACCCTCAGTTCATGATCCAGTCATTTTCAATAGATAACGTTCCAAGCTATGTTTTTTCTTATCGAATATCCTGTTTCACTAGGAAAACATGTGACATTCAGGAAGTTAAGGTTGTCGAACAAACTTATGTTGGCGTGCTGTGAATGATGCAGAACTGAATTCCCGTGGCTCTGGTTGTACGACAAGTGTTCTCGTTTTGATCATTTTCAGATGTTTTCTCAGCAGATTTTAACATGGCTCATACTTTTAAATGGCACTAGCATTGGCGCTTCATTGTTGTCATGCACATGCATTGATTAAAGGGCTCTTCATGACGGTCCAGAGGAGAGTTGCGTCTATAGCAGGGAATTGTTGTTGCCGCTGGGTTTGGATGGCTGTAGAGCAGCGCCTGTGAAAACCGCTCTGTGTGTCGATTCATGAGCAAACCTTGGGCCGGCCTTTTTGATGCCGTATCGAGGGCCTTTTTCAATTTCAACAGAATGAATGGACATCGTATAATGACGCTGTTTTCAGGCCGAGCATGAATATAAATGGGTTTTAATGAATGTTAATGTGCTCCTCTCAGTCCTGTTGTAGATGATGAGTAATTGTTGGCTGTATTAGCGGTATCTTTGTCCAAACCGGTGTTATCTCGCCAACAAAATTAGTCAAGGAAACATTCATTTGTTCATTGGGGAGGAAAAAAAAAAACCTTTTAACAGCACACATTTCAGTCAGTAATTTCTCGAACTGCCAAAGATGGGACAAAAAGCTTTATGATAATAAATAGCATTTCTAGTAATCCTGTACAACATATTCACAACACATAATTCAATATCAATATCATAAATTGACAGTGTTCACTAGGGATGTGCGCGACGACTAATTTGACTGTCGTTTAAACGAAAGTTTTGTATCCGACTAGTCGACTAGTCTAAAAGCAAGAAACCCCCAAAAGATGGTAAGAAAAAAAACCCTCTGTGCGTGCGTGTAGCATATATAATAGCCTATATTTGAAATACTTAATCTATGAATCACACTGTCAAATCCCTCAATGAATTCCGCTTGCCGCACACTTGCCTCGCGTTATCATCATTTCATTTTAGGCGGTCGTTAAAAAGAAAAAGAAAAAAAAAAAAAGAGCATACACTCACCGTCGGCCAAAGCATAGCTTATTTATTGAAATCAGCTGGGGAAATGCAGAACAATGGAAAATCAATCAATAGCCTGACAGAATTCTTCATCTTCATATAACGTTAGCCAACATATTAAAACACAAGTCAAAAACAATAGGAAGGTTTATCAAGAGATAGCATTAAAACGGCTTTTAAAAACGTACTTCGTGTAGGTTATATCGTCTAAAAACAAAATGCAACAATGCCCATTTTACTTACTCAGACCATGCGTTATTTGTTCAGTGAAATTATCAACATAGTCTGGTGAAAGACGGGCCCTAAGGCGATTAACAATAAAATTCCTGCACTTGAAAAAACGCGCTCGGCAGGAACTGAAGTCGCAGGCACGCAGAGATAACGAAAAGCAAGCCGATAGAGTTTCAGAAAGCACCTGGACATCCCGCACCACCACCGAAGTGGGTGTTCATTAGAGGAATAGACGGCGCGGATGGGATCGCAGCACCGACAGTTTGTAGTGAATGATGTGATTGACATTTGCTGGCTTTGACCAGCCTCTAAGCTAACGCCTACGTGCCTGTATTGAATATGATTACGCATCGCTCCAGTAGAGTTATTGTAAGACAATTTGACATTATACAGTTTACACAAAACTTTTCCGTTTCCTTCTAATTCAAAATACTCCCACACCTTCTCGTCTTTCGTATGGTAATTTTTGAACTTGCCGCAACTGACACGTAGAAAAAGCATAAGGTAAAAATGTAGTTTCCGCCCAGATAAACTTAAAAAAATAATGTATTATTTTTCAAACGTTTTATTTTAACTTGTTATTTAAAATGTTTTAAATGCAATGTTAAAATGACGGTAATATGAATGAATCATGTTTTACACTTTTAAAAATAATGTATTATTTTTCAAACGTTTTATTTTAACTTGTTATTTAAAATGTTTTAAATGCAATGTTAAAATGACGGTAATATGAATGATAAAATCATGTTTTTTTTTTGTTTTGTTTTTCTGTCGTGTAATCGACTATTGTTTTCAGTGTCGACTAGTAGGAGCTGTACCGTTTAGCCGACTAGACCCGCACATCCCTAGTGTTCACACATTATACATTGTTTGCTGATAAAGCTTTTATAATACGTTTAAATCAGTGTTATTTTTGTGTCATTGAAATCCTATTTACTGTAGTTTTTTGTAATATTTTGAATCAGTTCTTATTTTCCTTTTTCATTTTAATTTTAAAATTTTTGTAATTATGTTTTGTATTTTTGTCATTTTTAGTCATTTTTGGTTTTATTTGTCTGTATAGTTTTTATTAATTTCTATTCCATTTTGTTATTTTAGTTGACTTGGCAACTAGCTTAAACTTAGTATTATATAACAATATTTTTTAAATATATTTTATTTCATTTAACATATTTCAATTAACAAATTTTTTTTTTTTTTAATAATTCTAGTTTGTTTTATTTAACTATTATAACTCTTGTTTAAATCAATGTAATTTTTTTTTTTTGATCTGGTTGAAAAATTTGGTTGAATTTTCATCTGTTACAATTTGACACATTCACAGTCATAACATGAAAATCTTTTCTAGAAAAATTATAAATATGACAATTAAATGACAAAAAATTAGGAGACATGTTTGCCAAAAGAAAAAAGCTAAACTGTCTAAAATTACAAAAATAAATAAATAAGTCCTTTATTTTAAAATGATTTTAAAAATGTTAAAATGAGCAACACCTACTTCAACTATACCTACTCAAGATCAATTACAAATCATAAAAAGCTGGTTTCCTGCACCATGTTCAACTAGCTGTAAACCAAGCTGTTTTGACAGCGCTATCCCGTATCGCAGTGTTCCTGTCCATGAATTATTAAGGTTCATGAGGTGCTGATCATGTTCTCTTTCTCCTCTCTAGTGCCTGAGCTGTGGTGAGGATGAGCAGCAAGCGGAGTTTGTTTTTGCGGCTGGTGCCATGCCGCTGCCTGCGGGGCGAGGAGGACCCCGTCACCTCGCTGGACTACTCACATTGCAGCCTGGAGCAAGTCCCGAAAGAGATCTTCAGCTTCGAGAAGACCTTAGAGGAGCTCTACCTCGACGCCAACCAGATCGAGGAGCTGCCCAAAGTACGTGTGCCCTCTTGCGCCACAAACACTCTTACATTGCATGTCTCCAAAAAGTTAATTCAATGCTTAGACGGTGAAACGTTACCCTTTTTTGTTAGCTGGCAAGCAGCACATCCAGTCCACATGTTGTCTTTTTACTGGCATGCTGTTTATAAGCAATAGATTTGCTTACACAGCAGGCCTGCGATGTGTGAATACGTCTATTTTTGCCTTTTTATGGTATTCTAGATAAATACATTGAACTACTTATGTATTTGTTTTGAATTGGTTTAAAATCTGTAATTTATTTTTTTTCAGCAACCATCAATTTAACCAAATATTATGAAATATTGTAATAAACTTGCAATTCTGAGAATCATTTTGCAAGATATAAACTTATTTTCAGAATAAAGTCAGAATTGTGAGATGTTAACTCCAAATTGTAAGATATAAACTCTAAAGGCAAGCAAAGTGCTGCACAACAGAGGTTTACTGTTAAAATTAAAAAGAAAACAGATGTGATTATTCGTTTAAAAATAAAGGATTTATTAATATTTATTAGCAGTAGTAGCATTGAGTCTTCAGACTGCTAAATAGTAATATATTCTGACAGTTTAACGTTAAACTAAACTTTTATTTTGACGGGTTGCCGTGAAGAACTTTCAAGCTGCTCTGAATGTGATATGATGGTAGTTTTCTCAAATGAAACGGTAAAATGCTAATGAAGTGACTCTCAGAGCAGCTGGAGATGACATTCGTGTTCATATCATCATATAGTGAGACGGCAGAAGCTGAAAACACCGCGAGCATCGTCCGCGCTTTAGTATGTGTGTAGTAAACAAAACAGTGCACCGCGCCATCTGCCATTCATTCATTGCTGAAATCATGGCGCCTTATGCATGATCTCAAATGCTTCCGCAGATTTATAGTATTACCCATATGGCCATGATAAGCTAAGCGCTGAATGAATGACAGGCTTTCTGTTGTAACATCGCGCAAGGTAAATAAGGGTGACATCTAGTGGAGAAGACTAATGATAAGATTCACGTTAATCAGATCTTGTTTTAAATGTGTGCTGAAATAAATACCGGAAAAAATCGATTCGCGGCTTTTGAGAATCGATATCGAATCGACGTCATTTAAAAAAACGTCATTTGCCCAGCCCTAATGTGAACTCAGAATTGCGAAATATGAACTTGCAATTCCGATAAAGTTAGAATTGTAAGTTAAAAATCCACAATTATGTTTATTACGTTTCAGAAATGTGTTTCCATAAAATGTTGTAACTAAAAAAGATTCAAGTAATTTAATGTAAGAAATACTCAATTTTTTTTCACTAGATGGGGATTTCTTCATTTATATGCACCAATATGACAAAACAGCAATTAATCGTAATATTTGCAGTAAGATTTTTACAGAAATATTTTTGAGTCATTAAATCAAAGTTTTGAAAGGATTCATTATAATCGACAGTTCGGACTGATTTTCAGAAATGAATCAAACATCAACTTCGCTATTAAAACATCAGCTCAACATTCAGCTCTTTCATATTTGCAAGTTATGAGACAAGATGGGATAAAATCATTGCAGTATTCACTAGAGCCCGACCAATATGGTTTTTTTTGGGGACCGATACCGATATTAGGGAGCCAAAAAAAGGCAGATATTGATATATCGGCCGATATTCTTTGTGTATATTATAGTACAATACCAGTTAAAAGTTTGGACACTTTCCCATTCGTGTGTCCAAATGTTTGACTGATACTATAGATAGAATACAGTATATACATAAACAGAATATATATATATGCACTGAAAAGTAAAGTTGAAGTTTATTCAACTTTATTTGAATTCAATTCCATTCAACTTTATTCCGTTGAAGTTTATTTCACTTCGGAACATTTATTCGATTCGGCGTTCGAGAGGGTTCATCAAGCTGAAGGGATCCCCCGAGTTTGGTGCGGATCTGCCGCGCCGTTACGGAGATATGGCCGTTCAACGTTTCAATGGTATTGCATATGCTTAAAGGTGCAGTAGGAGAACTTGGAAAATGCTAACTTTAGTTCGACCGTAAGTGCCCTGCGAAGTGGACATCACAGGATATTCCGCCATGATTCCAGTTCGAAGCAAGCGTAAACGTTCCATACAAAGGGCATTAAAGTGTGCAAATTTAAATAGTATTTATTTACAGAGGTATATTATCACACTTCTCTAGTAAGTTTCGTCTGTGTGTGAAGAATGTTGCGCAGCGCAAATCCATGAATGAATGTTCCGAAGTGAAGTAAACTTCAACGGATTTCCCCTGCTCAGGGAGTAGGGAGCAATCAATGAACACTGGATTGGACTGGGATTGGGAACCGCTGGGCTACATCATGTCATTCACCGGTGAGAAAACTTTAAAAGTACTACAATACCAGGAAGGAAGATCGGGTTGTTGATGTTTGTCTGCCATTCTCGCTCTGTCTGCACAGCGTGCGTGAACGCGCTGATGACGTATCCTG